CATGCATGGCTCAACTCTCACATAATGATGTTTCGTTGGATTCTTGGTTCTATTCATGAGCTTCAAGTATGTGTTTGAGCAAGTCCCACTCACATGCATGACTCAACTTTAACATGATGATGTTCCGTTGCATTCTTGGTTGCATTTATGAGCTTCAAGCATGTGTTTGTGCAAGTCTCGCTCACATGCACGACTCATCTTTCAGATGACAATATTCTGATTCACACTTGGTTGTTCTACCACGCATGCACGTGTTCTCACCAGTCACACAAATGGTTAACGGGAACCCCCATTTTCAGGCCCTTGTAACGAGTCCAAAACTGAAATTAGGGTTTCGGGGTCAAATTTTACGTTTTTTTTTTTTTTTTTTTTTTTTTTTTTTTTTTTTTTTTTTTCAAGGTTGGTGTGTGCCAAATTTTGTGTGATTTGGAGAATTGGAATTTCCTCTGTTAAGATTTCTGAAATTTCTCAAGATTTCTGAAATTGACATACTGGCAAAATTTCATGAAAATGCACATTTGCCTTGATGTTTTATATGTTTTCTATTTTTTTTTTTTGGATTTTTTTTTGCAGTTAGTTAGTATGGTCTTCACTCTACAAATTGGTAACAAGTTTGATTAAAATGACCCTTTGGTTTTCATATAAATGGCATGGCAAGTGGTCTCAAAATTAGGGTCTCCGTTAACCTTCTCTCACCACTCACGCCCTCGTTTTGACAAGTTCATGCATTTGTATTCCGATTCACACTTGGTTGTTCTACCACTCATGCACATGTGTTCTCACCACTCACACCCTCGTTTTGTCAAGTTCATACATTTGGTAGTGTTCCGATTCACACTTGGTTGTTCTACCACTCATGCACATATGTTCTCACCACTCACACCATCATTTTGTCAAGTTCATACATTTGGTAGTGTTCCGATTCACACCTGGCTGTTCTACCACTCATGCACATGTGTTCTCACCACTCACACCCTCATTTTGTCAAGTCCATACATTTCGTAGTGTTCCGATTCACACTTGGTTGTTCTACCACTCATGCACATGTGTTCTTACTACTCACACCCTCGTTTTGTCAAGTTCATGCATTTGGTAGTGTTCCGATTCACACTTGGCTGTTTTCTCACCACTCACACCCTCGTTTTGTCAAGTTCATGCATTTGGTAGTGATCTGATTCACACTTGGTTGTTCTACTACTCATGCACATGTGTTCTCACCACTCACACCCTCGCCTTGTCAAGTTCATGCATTTGGTAGTGTTCCGATTTACACTTCATTGTTCTACCACTCATGCACATGTATTCTCACCACTCACACACTCGTTTTGACAAGTTCATGCATTTGGCAGTGTTCCGATTCACACTTGGCTGTTCTACCACTCATGCACATGTGTTCTAACCGCTCACACCCTCGTTTTTGTCAAGTTCATACATTTGGTAATGTTCTGATTCACACTTGGTTGTTCTACCCCTCATGCATATGTGTCATCACCACTCACACCCTCGTTTCGTCAAGTTCATGCAAATGGTAGTGTTCCGATTCACACTTGGCTGTTCGACCACTCATGCACATGTGTTCTCACTACTCACACCCTCATTTTGTCAAGTTCATGCATTTCGTAGTGTTCCGATTCACACTTGGCTGTTATTTTATTCATGCACATGTGTTCTCACTACTGACACCCTCATTTTGTCAAGTTCATGCCTTTGGTAATGCTCCGTTTTACACAAGGCTGTTATACTACTCGTGTGCCTATGTTCTCGCTAGTTCCACCCTCATTTTGTCAAGTTCATGCATTTGGTTGTGTTCCGATTCACACTTGGTTGTTCTACTACTCATGTACATGTGCTCTCACTACTCATACCCTCATTTTGTCAAAGTCATGCCTTTGGTAATGTTTCGTTTCACACTAGGTTGTGCCAGTACTCATGTGCATGTATTCTCGCTGGTTCCACTCTCACCTCGTCAAGTTCATGCCTTTGGTAGTATTCCAATTCACACTTGGTTGTTCAACTACTCGTGTGCATGTGTGTGCACTAGTTCCATCCTCACTTTGTCTAGCTCATGCCTTTGGTGGTGTCCCGATTCACACTTGGGTGATCTACTACTCATGTGCATGTGTTTCCATCGGTTACACCCTCACTTTGTCAAGTTCGTGCCTTGATGATTGTCCGGTCAACACTCTGCTGCTACAGATGTGGGATGGGTGACCGGCGCTTGGCTGTTACTGTTGTGGGGTGGGTGACTGGCGCTTGGCTGCTACTGCTGTGGGATGGGTGACCGGCGCTTGGCTGCTACTGCTGTGGGATGGGTGACCGTCACTTGGCTGCTACTTCTGTGGGATGGGTGACCGGCGCTTCGCTGCTACTGATGTGGGATGGGTGACCGGCGCTTGGCTGCTACTATTGTGGGTTCTCTTCTTGCTGTTCAGTCTTTCCTTCATTTAGTAATATGGCGGTTGCTTCCTAGCTGTTCCGTGACTCATGTATGTGTGTGTTGTAGGTCTTTTGCCGCAGTTCAGTCTTTCCTTCACTTAGTAATGTGGTGGTTGCTTCCTAGCTCTTCCGTGACTCATGTATGTGCGTGTTGTGGGTCTTTTGTTGCTGCTCAATCTTTCCTTCACTTAGTAATGTGGCGGTTGCTTCCTAGCTGTTCCGTGACTCATGTATGTGTGTGTTGTCGGTCTTTTGCTGGAGTTCAAGTCTTTCCTTCACTTTGTAATGTGGCGATTGCTTCCAAGCTGTTCCGTGACTCATGTTTGTGTGTGTCGTAGGTCCTTTGCTGCAGTTCTGTCTTTTCTTCACTTAGTAATGTGTCGGTTCTTCCTAGTCGTCTCCCTAACCTCACACGTGCGTGCTCTAGCCTAAATTGTGCAGTTTAGTCTTCTCTCACTCAATGATGAATCGGTTCAAATCTTGAACAGGGGATGGTAGGTCAAGTAAGGGTAAGGCTTGATTAGGATTAGGGAGTTCTTTCTCTCTCTCTCTCTTCCTCTCTCTCTCTCTCTCTCTCTCTCTCTCTCTCTCTCTCTCTCTCTCGTTCCTCTGTCTCATACTTCGGCCCTATGTGACACCCGCGGTCGCGGCCGCGGGCATTTCGGCCGCTGCGGTCAAAAATCCCGGCCGCGGCCGCGGCCTGTTTTTTTAAATATTTTTTTTTACCCCTAAAAATACTCAAAAAAAATAAAAAAAATATAGAGGTGTAGGGCTTCGAAAACCCTACACCCCTAGATTTTTTGTTTCGGAATCCGACGTTGTTTAGGATTTAAAAAAAATCAAAAACAAAAATCGATTTAAACATAATTAAAACAATAATAATAAAGAAAAGCTGGATTTTTTTTTTGACATTTTTTATCATGAGATATATGGTCACCGAGTACCCTGTATTTTTTTTAAGAATTGGATTTGTTTTTTTTTAAGGGAAATGAGGTGTTTTTAAAAAAACAAACATGTGAAATTTGAAAATAAATAAACAAAAAACTTAAAAAAAGGGTTTTGATTGATTGATTGATTGATTGATTGATTATTGATTGTGAGTGAGTGAGTGAGTGAGTGAGTGTGTGCGTGTGTGTGTGTGTGTATGTGTGTGTGTGTGTGTGTGTGTGTGTGTGTGTGTGTGTGTGTGTGTGTGTGTGTGTGTGTGTGTGTGTG